CACACCTGCTATTCTAATATTACTTTCCATGTTGTTCCACAACTCTCTTAAGCTGTCCTCCTGTTTTTTAATTGTTTTTTCCTTTTCATTCTCTGATTGATATTTTCAACTTTGTCTTCTAATTCACTCATTTGATCCTCAGCTTCCCCTAATCTGCTGTCTGTTCTTTCCAATGTTTTCTTTATGTGTATTATGTCATTCTTTATCTCAGACTGTTCCTTTTTTCAAAGTTACTACAGTGGGGCCTTGACTTATGAGTTTAATTCGTTCCGAGACTGAGCTCGTTAAGGGGCTTGTTAACTCAAATTACTCTGTCAACTCAATGCAAAATATCGGCGGAGAGACAGCTGGTATTCTCAAAAAACTCATTAGTCAGGACACTCATAAGTCAAGGCCCCACTGTATGTCTTTTTTCATGCTGTTGAGCATATTTACCATCATTACTCTGAACTCTGTTTCAGATAAATTTCTTATCTCTGCTTCATTTATCTCTTCTATTGGACATTCTCTAGTTTTATTTGGGCGTTATTTTTTTGTCTCCTCATTTTGGCTTTTTGGGTTTGTGGCTATATATTACTAGAGGCCCGGTGCACAAAAATTTGTGCACTTGGGGGAAGGGGGCTTCCCTCAGCCCGGCCTGTGCCCTCTCGCAGTCTGGGACCCCTCGGGAGATAACGACCTGCTGGCTTAGGCCTGCTCCCAGGTGGCAGAGGGCAGGCCCAATCCCTAGGGGCAACCCCTGGTTGGGCTCAGAGCAGGGCCGATTGGGGAGTTGGGGCGCCTTCCCCTGTCATGCACAGAGCAGGGCGGATTGGGAGGGTGTGATGCCACCCTCAGTCACGATCAGGGTAGGGCCGATTGGGGGGTTGGGGCACTGCCCCCTGTCACACTCAAGGCAGGGTCGATGGGGAGGCTATGCCTCTACCCCATCACACACAGAGCAGGGCTCGTGGGGGGAGGGGGGTTGGGGCGCTGCACCTTGTCACCCACAGAGCCGCAGGGTGATCAGGGGGTTTGGGCGCTGCCCCCCCTCACGCTGATCCCGGTGCTGGGAGGCATATTACCCTTTTACTATATAGGGTAGAGGCCTGGTGCATGGGTGGGGGCCGGCTGGTTTGCCCTGAAGGGTGTCTTGGATCAGGGTGGTGGTCCCCACTGGGGTGCCTGGCCAGTCTGGGTGAGGGGCTGAGGGCTGCTTTCAGGCTGGGACTGAAGCTCCCAACCGCTCCTTTTTTTCTTTTTTTTAATTTTTATTCAGGGCCAGCTTTAGCTCTGAGGCCTCGGCTGCTGACAACAGGTTTCTGGCCTTTGTTTACCATCTGTATTTGATACAATGTTGCAGTCTGGCTGGCTGAAGCCCATATAGTTACTTAGAGTTGCAGCTGAGAGGCCAGCAAGTCAGGCGGGGAACTTGGTTTCCTCCGTCACTGAAGCAAGCAAGCCTCTTGTTAGTTTCAAGCTGCCTGGCTGCCGGCCGCCATCTTGGCTGCCAGTTAATTTTCATATCTCACTGATTAGCCAGTGGGAAGGGTAGCAGTCATACGCCAATTACCATGTTTCTCTTTTATTATTGTCGATGGAGATCCTCTACACCTCTCAATCTCTAGTGCAGGACAGTGTTTAAGGCTGTTTCTGTCTAATTAGAGCAAAGACTCAAAGCCTCCAGAGACTGTCTCTGCCTAGAGACTGATAGGATTCAACTTGAATTGCCCCCCAGGCAGTCGTCCTCAGGCATGGTAAGAGTTTTTTCTAACAGAGTAGGGCAGTTGCTTCTGCCTGGAGGCTAATTGTTATTTTAAGTGGCCTCAGGGCAAGATGTTTTCCAGTAGGGTGTGTCAACTGTCTTTCCCCCAAGCAAGCAAATGTCTATGTGGGAAAGGTGTCCTCTGCTGGGTGAGGGAATGACTTAGCTCAGGATACTTGGGGTGTCTGCTTTCTGAGCTCTATCCTGGGTGTCCCAGGTCCTGGCTTCTGCTCTCACAGCTCCAGTCTACTTCATCCTCCCTCTGCGGCAGCACAAGGTGGGTGGCTCCACAGGGAATTTTGTGTGTTGGCTATTTAATAGGGTGCCTGAATTTTCAGCTGTTACTCCCTGGCAGAAAGAACCCCACTGCTTTTAATAGTTAGATGTTATGTGGGTACCCTCCTCAGTTTGCTGTTCTCTGCTGGGGAGCCCAGCTTTGGGGTTAGATCCCAGAGTTCTCAGTGGAAACCCACCCACAGCTGAGATATCTCTCTGGGTCTTCAGTTGCTGTCTATGGGCTCCTGCCCAGCCCTTTTGTGCTTCCGCCTCTCCTACCAATCTCTATGCAGTCTCCACTTTCAGTCCTCTGGTATCAGGGTTCTCTCCTGCGAGATTTTCGTTGATTATTCAGGAACTTCTTCTGTATTTTAGTTGTAATTCCAGTTTGTTCCTGGGAGCATGTCCGTGCAGCACCCACTTACTCTTCTGCCATTTTTAATCCCTGTTTTGTTTTCATGTGATGTCTTTGTCAGGTGTTGGTATCAGAGTAATGCTGGAATGGTTGAGAAGTATTCCTCTTCACTATTCTGGAAAAGTTTCAGTAGATTGGTAAATGTATAATACTTAGTATAGTTCGAATTCACCAGTGAAGTTCCCTAGGCCTGGATTTTTATTTGTTAGTAAGTTTTTAACTATAATTTTAATTTCTGTAGAGATATTTTATGTATCCATTTCTTCTTGGGTGAGCTTTGGAGTTAGTGATCTTCAAGGAATATTGGTCCATTCATCTAAATTATTTGATTTATTGATTTGAAGTGACTTATATTCTCTTAACTTTTAAAATTGAGATGTAATATAAAGCATTGAAATATAATAAAATCACTTTTTTTCATATGTTCAAAATATTGTGCAACCATCAGCAGTATTTAATTGCAGAATACTTTTATCACTCTGAAAAGAAACCCCATACGTATTAGCAATCAATTTCTGTCCTCTTCCCGCTCTTATCTCTTCAACCATTAATCTATTTTTTTGTCTCTATGAATGTGGTTGTTCTGGACATTTCATATATATGGAATCGTGACCTTTTGTGAGTAGCTATTTTTAAAAAAAATATATTTATTTTTTATTAATTTCTTACAGAGAGGAAGAGAGAGGGACAGAGAGTTAGAAAAATCGACGAGAGAGAAACATCAATCAGTTGCTTCCTGCATACCTCCTAGTGGGGATGTGCCCGCAACCAAGGCACATGCCCCTGACCAGAATCGAACCTGGGACCTGTCAGTCCACAGGCTGATGCTCTATCCACTGAGCCAAACTGGTCAGGGCTGTGAGTAGCTATTTTAACTTAGCATAATGTTTTTAAGGTTCATCCATGTTGTAGCATGTATCAACATCTTATGGCTGAATAATATTCCACTATAAATCACATTTTGTTTATCCATTCAGCAGTTTATAGACATACTAGAGGCTCGGTGCACAAAAATTTGTGCGCTCGGGAAGGGGGGGGGTACCTCAACCCGGCCTGTGCCCTCTCGCAGTCTGGGACCCCTCGGGAGATAACGCCCTGCTGGCTTAGGCCTGCTTCCGGGTGGCAGAGGGCAGGCCCAATCCCTAGGTGCAGCCCCTGGTCGGGCTCAGAGCAGGGCCAATTGGGGAGTTGGGGTGCCGCCCCCTGTCATTCACAGAGCAGGGCGGATTGGGAGGTTGCAATGCCCCCCTCAGTCACACTCAGGGCAGGGCCGATTGGGGGGTTGGGGCACCGCCCCTTGTCACACTCAAGGTAGGGTCGATGTGGAGGTTGCGGAGCCACCCCCTGTCACGCACAGAGCAGGGCCAATCACGGGGTTGGGGCACTGCCCCCGGTCACACACAGAGCAGGGCCCATCAGGGGCGTTGGGGAACTCCCCCCTGTCACGCACAGAGCTGGGACGATCAGGGGGTTGGGGAGCTCCCCCCGTCACGCACAGAGCAGGGCCCATCAGGGGAGTTGGGGAGCTCCCCCCTGTCACGCACAGAGCAGGGTCGATCAGGGGATTGAGGAGCTCCCCCCCGTCACTCAGAGAGTAGGGCCGATAGGGGAGTTGGGGTACTGCCCCCTGTCACACACAGAGCAGGGCAGATCAGTGGGTTGGGGCGCCACCACTCTCACACCCACGGCAGGGCTGATTGGGAGGTTATGGCTCTACCCTGTCACACACACAGCAGGGCCCGTGGGATGGCAGGGGGTTTGGGGCGCCGCACCCTGTCACACACAGAGCCGCAGGGCGATCAGAGGTTGGGGGGCTCCCCCGTATCAGGCC